GTTGTCGGTAGATCCCTTTAAGAAGTATGTATCGTGTGTGTGTGTTGCGTATTGGCTGCTGATTCAGTTGGATCTCAGATATTTATCATGGATTTCATTTGGATCACTAGGAGGCAGTTTAAGTCTTTCAGATTGTCCTCCCTTTGCAGATGTGTTATCTGTGTTGCATGTGCAGCTGGGTTTATATAGCTTAAACCAGCTTAGACTTGGGAATTTGTTTGATACGTAAATTTCCATATTTTAGTTAAATTATTTAAGTAGGCCAAGAATAAGGTGATGATGGGCTGGGCTTTTGCTTAGACACTCTAATTTGTTTTAAGTAGTAGGGTCTAGGTCTCTTAAAGGGGGAGAAAAAGAATAGATAAGCCTTTGGCTTAGGCTATTTGCAACCCCAATTGCCGTTCGCTCTTCGGGCAGGCTTGCCTTCAATTGTTTTGTTTTATTCCCATTTCTTTCTTTTTCAGTTAATTATCAATTTCAGTTTAGAATTTCTTCTCGCAATCCGCCCTTCAATCTATCATTGTTTCCTAATTTAGGCTAGTAAGGTTTGAACATTAACCCTTGTCTGGAGGTTGTGCAAGGCACCGCCACAAGTGTTTATTTAGAGTTTGTTCATTACATTGGGGTTTGCTACAGGCTTTGCCGTATAAGAAACAGTTTCCATATAATCTGGATAGATAGATAGATAGGTCATATGGATTTATACATATTGAGAGAGAATTGGAACTTGAAAGTGTCCGTGATAGTTGTATAGATGAACACTGATATCCTATTAAAGGATCCTCCTCCATGTTGAATGTTGTCTCGGGTGGTAAATTATGAACACGAATGCAATATTATCGTAACTGTTTAAGGAAATCTTTACGAAATCCACATTCTTCGTACCATATTATCAGTTGGTCTCTGATTTGGTTCAAATGCTTGAAATGCTCCAAATTCTTAAAACACCTGACCTTACTATAAGCTATCCATGGATTCCATCCAGATGTTCTGCTCTACTTCTAGCTGGGAAAATTGATTTAGTATCTTACTGTGCTTTCCTCACCATCTCTTCTAATTTACATTGTTATGTACGTTAGAGAGTAATCACGCATTAAGATCAACCCTACTCAAAATAACAATAAAATTAAATAGAATTAAGTTCTCTTTCAACTTACCGAGCATCGGTGAGTCTTGTGTAGCGATATTTACATTTGTGGTGAATCTTGTGTCGCAATTAAATAGAATTTATGCTGTCGAAATATTACACAACCTCATTCTAGCCTCAACTGTCTGTTTCTTTAATTTTTTAATTGTTAATCTTATTTAGATCTTGGATTCACTAGAAGCTACTGGATGTCCTTGTACACGAGAACAGGCCATCTCCACATTTACAGAATCGGTTGACAGGTCAGATCTGAAGGAGGCTCTGAGTCTGTCCGGTTATTTTGAGCGGGGAAAGTGTGCGGGCAAAAGAGGTGTGCCCATGTGCTGCTGGTAGTAAGAAGACGACTAGTACAAATTTGAATCCCGTGAAATTGGACTTAAAGGTGGGAGAAAACGAGTGTTTTATGGTCATCTGGCATCTGTGTCCTTATCTAGACAAAGGTAACTTTCGAAACCAGCAGGGCTGTTATTCCGAAATCCAAATAAACCTTATTTCATAAATTATAGTTTGACTTTAAGATCTGGAGATGAACCGAAAGCTAGGGCATGTTTTGTAATCAGATTAAACTTAACGAAAATCATGCGAGGAAGTAGAATCTTTGCATTCCGTGATTTTACCTTTTCTTCTTCCTATTTGCATTCAGTTGCTGTTCTTTGATTTTGGGTTACTGGTGTTGAAATTTGGTGAAATTTCACTATTTTTAAGAGATCAACTTTGAAAGGTCTTCAAGTATTTCATTGAGGTTCCTGTTATCTTGAGGAAGCTCTATCAAGTGGGCTAGTGAATTAGAAAGGTTCTAGCAATCTTACCGGTTTTAGAGAATATTTTGAGTTGAGCAGCACTTGATTCTTAAGATTGAGTCTAACAGTGCATTAAAAATGTTTTTACTTTGATTTTTGTTTTAAATAGTTGGAGGTAGTGTGGTGGGGGAGGGATAATAATAATAACTAAATCAAACACAATAGAAAGGTGGATGCTTTGTAAATAAGAAAAGGCTTTGTTTATGAAAATTTTTCAAAAAATTTCTAACATTTTAATTCAACCACTTTTTTTAACTCAACCCCACTATAATCAATATTATTAATATAATTAAATAATATCAATCAATCATTCATACACAGCACATTAACTTTAATTCACTATTTATCCACTCACATTATTTTAACTAACCATCAGTTCAATCATTTCTCTTCTACTTTTTACATCAAATCAATTTTAATTATTTTATTTTAAATATTATTTTTAATATACTCACTAACAACTAACCATACTACTTTTTACAAAATTAACCAAATCAAACCAAACCAAAAAATCTAACAAAACAAAAAATTTTCATATCCAAACATGCTCTAATATTTTACAGTTAGGTCACACAGACACACAGTTGTACATACTTGATCCAACGGTAGAAAAATACGAGGTTACAACTATCGATGGGTCACACAGACACACAGTTGTGCATACTTGATCCAACCGTAAAAAGTTACGGTGATTGCATCTACTGATAGGTTGAAATTTGTCCAAGAAAAAGATCTGCAACACAAGTATATGCTCATGTGGTGTGATTTAAATTATTTTTAGTACGTCCTATTTGTTGTAGAGAAGTTTGTAATGAAGTGATATTTTTGTCAGCTTATTGATAAGTCATGACTAGGACTGTGAACGAACTGAGACGAGTCGAACATTGGCCTTATCGAGCAGGGATCGATTTTTTTTTTTTTTGGCATTGCTCGAGCTCTAGCTTGTCAAGCAATGATTTTTGAGGCTCGACACGACTTGCCAGAAGAACGAGATTGCTTGAGCTCAGTTCGAGACAGAATGAATTTTCAAGGCTAAAAAAAATTGCTCGAGAGTCAGCTGGAAAATTTAATAGATATTAAGGTTTAAATTTTCAAGAAATAACTATTTACTTAATTCTATAACAAAACTGAGTATATATAACTGTATTCCCTTCCCTTCCAGGGAGCAAATTGTTACAACATTAAACTTCCAAACAAATCTTCAACACTAAAGTGTGTACAACCAACAAATGTCCAAGAGTTCATAATATCCAAAATTAACAATCATAAAAACAAATGTTCAACATGTCTACCTAAATAAGAATGCATCCATGTGTTCTTCAATCCAACCGTACAAGTTGCACACATAAAAAAACTTAGAAGTTTGAACTTCTAGAATGATGATAAATATTAAACTTCCAAACAAATCTGAGGTTAGAAACGACTGTGAACTACCTAGCACGCTATACTTCGAAGAGCCATGGCTCCATACTGGATCAATTTCTTCAAAACGAAACGAAGTGAAGTCAAAGACCAAAAGTAGAGAGCAAAATGAGACTTGACGTTGCCAGTAGGACTGACTGACTAATAGGATTGGAAGAACCGGAAGACTGCTTCACTTCGCTTCGCTTCGTTTGTAGGGGGAAGAGAGTGCGGTACCTGCCGTCCATCCGAATGATATGTTATGGATATTTCATATTCCCCCTTTTCTTTTCATATGATTTGACTTACTATGCCCGCTCCTGTAGCATTATAAACTGTATTCTTACTCTTGCTTCGCTTTGCTCTAAAGTATAATCTTTTTCGGGCCTTGTAAGCTTCTTCACTATATGGAGATGGGGAACAACTATGGACACTGGTGCTGAAGAAACTAATGACTCAGATGCTGATGACGGGAATGCTTCTCAATTACATCGAGCCTCTGCTAACATTATACTTTTAGAATGTAGTGATCAAAGCCAAAAAAAAATAAAATAAAATAAATAAATAAAAATAAATAAATAAAAATCAACACTTTGATATCTTCCACTTTCAGCATGTAAAGTGTCAGCACCTAAAAACACTAGAGACATTCCATCAAAAAAGTAAATCAAAGATAACACCATATTATCCAAATCAGAAAAGAATCTAAAAGATTACAAATTGAACAATAAAAGAAATGATAACTTTCAAGGAATAGGTCAAAAGATTTCTTGGGTTGACTTCACTTTCTATAAACAAATAAAATTACAACAGAACAAAAGAACATTTAATCATTATTGATATGGAATTATGTTCTTCAGATTTTAGCAAGGTTCTGAAAACCGGACCGGACCGGTCCGGTTTGAGGTATAGAACCGCTGGAGCTCAGAACCGGCCAAAAAACCGCTTGAACCGTTTAAAAACCGTCAAAACCGTTAAACCGGTAGCAGTTCACGTGGCCTAGCGGTCCAATTATGGTTTTGTTATAATGTGGTTGTAAAACGGCTTAAATAGCCGACTTTTTTTCATTGTATGTCTGATGTGGAATAGGAGAAATTAATAAAGGTTTACCTAATTTATTGGGCTGCTAGCAGGCATATTTTTCCTATTAGAAGTTCTATGGCTCTGTCCGTCACAAGACAAAAAATAATAAGTATTAAATTGGGCCTATTTTTTCTATTTCCACCACAAGCCAAGACCCTACCAATATATATGTATATAATGAGCCCAGCGGTCCACTATAAGCTAACATGATCCTACCAATTTATGATAAAAATATATAATATATATAATAGGGGAGCCCGAATGGAGCCTTTGCCCTACTCTTGATGGATAAAACATATGTACAATTATATATTATACATATAAAATAAATAAAATTTAATATTAATCAAACTGGTTCGACAACTGATCCGACCAATGAACCATTGAACCAGTAGCTTCACCGGTTCCATTTTCAAAACCTTGGATTTTAGTGTGCTTACCTTGTCTTTTTTCTTGATGTCATTTAGCTTACGACAACAATCACCAGCGCACATCAACATCTCGACAGTTGTTGGTGCCAAAGAAGAACGACAGGCATCAATCACTCTAGTTCTGACACTGAATACAACTTCTGAGAAACCGTACTGATAGGGATGACTAAAATATCAGCAGCCATCTTTGGCAAAATCTTGTACTTTGTTGTGTCTTTCCACCACTTGAGTGCATCTAAATTCACAATATCTACACTTGAATCCTCTGCAGGCAGTAAGCATGTCATCCTCAAAGTACAAATCTAATTCATTTCCTTTCTGGTCGAACACTCTCAATGGTTGAAACATGAGTGAGAAATTCACTCATGCCTGAAAAAAGGTGCTATTGATGGACCAGTATTCTTGCTGGGAGGATTTTGAGTAACCTTTTGACCGCTTGAACCCAAATTATACATCTCGACATATTCATCATATAAATCGTATAATGTTTGATGAACCTTGCTTATGTTGAGTTCCACTTCATAAGAAGGATACATAAGTGAAAAACAATAATTTATGACCTTCATTTTGCACCTCGAATGCATGATTGTTGCTATGGACATTAACAAATTGCACTCACCCCAATATTTTCAAACTTCATTTTCATTTTTCATACCATTGACTTAGCAAAAGTATCTTTATCATCGACTTTACCATCGAGCATCCCTTTTATCCGACAAACTTCATTTAACTATAAAATAGCCGTAGGATAATCACTATCGGATATCACATGTGTAGCTGTCCAAAAAACTTGCAAAATATTACAAACCTTCTTCACTTTATCCCAATCCCCGGTGGTTGGACATGGTTTGAAATGTGCCTCTCTATATTGGAATCGAAGGAAAACTTCTCGATACTTGAGTGCACAAGCCAACATCTGAAAGGTTGAATTCCATCTTGTCACCTTCCTTGTAATTGCAGCTGCTGGACAATTTCAACAAAGAGGAGACGCCGCCCCTCTATTTTGTTTATGAAATCCACACTACTTATCACATTCACAATAACCTTTATTTCACCAATTCCATCTTGGACCATTAAATTTGATAATATGCGCACAACATCGTACATGAAATAAACCCCCTTTTGCCAATAGACACTTGTTTCTCGGATAGATCTCCTTTGACTGGTCGAACAAAATGTGTATTTTATATATTTATTGGCGTATTTTTATATGCTTAATTTTATCGCACTTATATATTTTTCGACATATGTATTTATTTAGAATTTATGCTTTGATAATTTTATAGTTTATTTTTAGGTTATTGGAGTGTTTTTATGGACGACGAGACGTCGAAGGAAGGTTGAAGCATGCAGTACGGACAAGCCTCATACTCGGCCAATTCCAACACATTTGGGCCCAAGATATATGGATTTGATAGAGCCCGATTGTTAAAGAGGTTGAATCAAGGTCCATTAATTGCTGCTGAAATCAGAAGCAATAGGTTAATAAGGGGATGCTTGGATATAATTTTTNGAGTTTAATTTTAAATAAAATAAAATATTTTTTTTTTAGTTTAATTTTTGTTTTGATTGGATATTTTGATTTGGTATGATTAATTTTAAAAAAGGTAGTATGATTAGTTGTTAGTGAGATTTTGAGTTTATATTATAATAATATTTTAAATAAAATAATTAAAGTTGATTTGATGTAAAAGTAGTAGAGAGATGATGTGAAGTGATAGATCGTTAAAAATATGTGAGTGAATGGATAGTAAATTAAGGTTGATGTAATCTATTAATATATAAAGAGACAATGATATTTATTTGAAATAGTAACTAAAAATCAGTAAAAAAACATTTGATTTCCCGCCTAAAAATTCAGATTTACTAAATTTGGTATTTTATTTTTGCCAAAATTTCAAAAATCCCGCCTAGATTAATGTAATTAATGTACAGAATCATTTTGGTCAAATATTGTGGCTATTACCTTTATTAGTTATATAATTTAAATTTGGTATATACTATATTGACAAACTTGCAACTATTACCTTTATTAGTTTCATGGTTTAAATTTGGTTTATAATATATTGAAAAAAATAAAAAAAATATTTAAAATTAAATATAAAAAAATAATTATTCATAACTTACGGGTCAATATTAACTTGGACGTAAACGAAATAGCCAATTATTTATAGTTTAATAAATTACTCAATAACTTACGGGTCAATATTAATTTGGATGTAAACGAATAGTCAATTATTTATAGTTTAATAAATTACTGAACTATTTAATTTTTTTATATGAATAGTTTATACAAAAACAAATTTATTTTTATTAATGAAACAATATAAATTTTATATTTATACCTATTATTCACATAAGTTGTTAAATATATGATAAAAATTTTACCAAAATAACTATTTTATGGAATCATATAATAATCAAATCGAATATCTGAATAAATTTTTTTGAAATGATACTTTTGAAACGAATATAATGTAATTTATACTAGTGTGTAATAATGATTGATTGGTATTATTTAATTATATTGATAATATTGAGGATAAAGGTTGAGTTAAAGTTGAGTTAGATTTGAGTTAAAATGAGTGATTGGTTAAAAATAATTGAATTTTTTTGGGATAAATTTGTATCCAAGCATCCTCTAAATGACCTTTGCATATCAAGTTAGGGAGATGTGAGATATATTAGGTGAGGCTCTAAATATATTAGGTGAGGCTCTAATATTTTCTTGGAATTAGCCCACTTCAGGGCTATTAGAACAAATTAGGGAATATATTTCTTTTCCTGGAGACCATACAAAACCTCGCAGCCAGAGGACATTCACGCAACAGAGGAGAAGAAAAATAAGGAAAAAGGAAAGAAGAAAGCAGTGCAGAACAGAGCAGGATATATAAGAACCCAACCAATCGCAGAGGGTGATCGCACCCGCGCACGAGAAGGATAATTTTATTCTTCTCTTTTATTTAGTATTATTATGCTAGAGTAGATTTTATTTATAGTTTTGGGGATGTCGAACCCTACGTACTTGGCTATGTTTAATTAATTACGGTGAATGATTATTTTGCTATTTTTATGAAATTGCTTGTGTTATTTTGTTTGATCAACCATGATGTACTTGATTTTATTTAGATTGATCAACTAGATAAGATTTTTCATGTCTAACGCTAGAATTGAACATGAAATCCGTAATTGTTGTTGATTTTAATTCGTAAGTAGCAACCGAAAGCCGGTAACTCTCGGGGATAACACGACTTAATTAAGTGAACCGCGCGGTTGCGTTTACTACTTGGACTACTCTATTTTCTATATCCTAAAGCGGTTATTGCATTAAATCTAAATATTTATAGACTGTCCAATAAGTCAGGTTTAACAGAAGAGCGTTTCTCGGCTAAATAAATAGTAAGAAAAAAACCGGGTAGCAGAGCGTGTTATTACCTAGGGATAGTAATTTCGAAAGATAGTGAAACTTGATGTCACAATTGATAGACTAGTCGAGCGAGGGTGTAGACATAACTGTGAACTAGATTTTTTCTCTTAATTTATTTTATTTTATTTTTATTTCCTTTCTTTAGATTTTTAGGATTTTAATTAGTTTAGTTATTAAATCACAATCTCTCCCTCTTTTATTGCTTTTATTATTTCAAGTATTACCAGAAAATTCACATTCCGATTTACACTCCTCGTGGGATCGACCCTTTACTCGCCATTACTACTAGTTAGTAGAGGTTAGTTGAGGAAAAACCTAAATTCTAATTTGCCGCGTTGCGATGCGCGGTCATCCTTCAAGTCTCTCAATTTCAGTGTCATTGTTTGAGGCATTATCCACCAACATCGTATAGATTTTACTCTTAATGCCTCACTTCTTCAATCATTTGAATATAGAATATGCAATTTAGACACCGTGGCGTGAAGGGGGAATATGCACAAAGTTGAGGACTCGTTTCTCCAATCTCCACTGGCTATCGATCCAATGCCCATTTATCAACATATATTCAGTCTTATGATTTTTTGACCTCCAAAGATCTATGGTCAAACTGATTTTCTTGACTTTCTCGAACAAAATTTTCAGTTTGGACTACTCTCTCTCGTATATCACTTTCAATCATTTTTGTTTGTGGTTTGGCTGATCTTGTGCCATTATAGTATTCCTCTTTTCAACATCAAGTTGAATCCCTCTTCCTTGAAAAATTAAAAGGGATGCTCATGCATGAGTACCCATTCGGCAGTCGATTCTCTCATGGCGGCCATGTCAAATTTATGAGTATGAAGATATGGATACGGTGTGCTTGAATCGGTTGATGTAACGATAATCTTTTGTTATTGTGGTTGGTTCAGTAGTGCATGACTTCAGATGCCTCAACATGCTAGTTGTTGTGCTCTTCTTTGTTTCAATTTGACAAATCAATGTTTGCACTGACAATAAGTATCGACACCAACATCTACTTCATTAAAATCAACACATGCTTTAGACTTTTTGCCATTTCCTTTTTTTTTTTTTCAACTGATGTAATGCTTCATGAAGATATTTCTTGGAGAGGCGACGTCATATTATACTTTATGTAGATTGTACTCTGTAGCCACAAACAAAAACTAAATAAGCTTGAGATGATTTATATTTTTTTATCAATCAAAAGTAAAACAATAAGCTATTAGCAATCAAAACCATGAGCAACTTTTTTATGTTCGCTTGAACTGAACAACAATAAACTTATTGAACCATTTTCCCCTTAATTGTATTTCATCCTCAATAGAAATATCAAGTCATAGCTTGTCCAGGCCATTCCGTTCATATCTCCAATAATAAGAATAAACAAAGTTGGACTTTAGATAACCATATTTTCAATTAGTCATTCTACCAAACACCTCATGTACAACATTCGGTGTCAATTTCATCAAACTTAAACCCTCACTCTTCCAAGCGTACATCAATCCCAGAATGTATGTATAACAGTTTCAGAAAAGTTCCCTATCAAACCCAAATTACGAATCCAAGAATTTTAATAGGAAGATGCAGAAACTTACATCTTTGGAGCTTTCACAGTGAGAAGTTCGTCTCGCCGATTGTGAGTTACTTCTGGACCGAAGTGATGTGGCGTGGAGTTACGAGCCGAGCACCAGTTGCGTGGAATTTTTATATAGTAACGAGGCTAAGCACCGCCGACGAACTAATTGGTTTGAGCACCGATGGCGATTGGTGAAGAGTACAGATGGAGAAGATGGTAGGCTAGTTTTTTTTTGTTGTTGTTTGCGAGCCCGCGACTTGCGAACGGGATGAAGAATTGATGAATGCAAATGTGGATTGTGGTCTCGGGTCTGTGGAATAAAATTAGATTGAAAAATGTGGTAAATAAATTATTTAGTGTGAAATTACCAAATACACCTCCAATAATAGACAAAACAACTATGCACTAGGGCTATTTATATAAATTTGTATGTATATCGAGCCACTTTACAAGCCGATTGATGCTACCAAAATGGGGATTGAGATCGGCTCGACAGTGGACTCGATCTGCTCGAGCTCGAGTCGAGCTTTGACTTGAGCGCTTACGAGCCACTCGAGTCGTTTGCAACCATAATTATGACAATTGGCAGGGTAAAGGTGTTTGGTTTTGTTATTATTTTTTATTATGAGGTGGTCTAGAACGATGGTTCTAATGTCTTATCCAAGCAATAAACGTTAAAAGTGAGGTAAAGTAAAGAGTCTAACCAAACTGAAATTTTAAATCTAAAATGTCTTTTGTACATTCGTTCCTCCAAAAATCCAAATTTGCATTTGATGTCAAACATGCGTTCCAAGTTTCTCTGACGGTCATTTTGTCAATTGTTCTAAAACGTCGTTTTCCACAACAGATATCTAACGGTCATTCTGTGAATTTTCTAAAACGTTGTATCCCACAATAGATATTTGTTGTGTAAGTTATCACAACAGGTCCCCCGGATCCATTTACAATTGACAATGCATGATTAACGTGTCAAAATTTCAAAATGTCGTTTCTCTACATCCTCACTTAAAAAAAAATCTTGCTCAATCTAAATTTCTTGTACAAATTCAAAAAATCAAATCTAACACACATGGTGAATTCCTAATTCAAGATTGAAGACATCTTCTCATGCCTCAAGGTTGGCCAATCCTAAAATCCTAGCCACGAAACGAGTATCGGCTGCCACATTTTTGTATTGCCGTTCACGGTTGATTTTGGCAAATTCACTAGTCTTTTCCAAGGTTGCAAACTTGTCTGCCCCAAAGAAAGTTTCTTCTTTTCATGCAATGGAGACGCGAAGTCTCAGCCCACTCGTGTTCATTTCTTCAAATGCCGAAACCTCATAATATCTTCAAATTGTTATGATTAAGTTATAGTACATCACACGGGTGGCCAAATCTAAATGACGTTATAGAAGGATGAACTGCGAAATGACATGGATGGAGAAAGATAAGTGTGAGATGCAGGCGGGGACAAGCCATGGGGCAGAACTAATAGAATATTTAAAAAGGAAGAAAGAATGAGACGAAATTAAGACTTAACGAGATTGAAGAAATGGTCAGAGCATAAACATACCAGGTGATAGTGTTAGTGTTTTAACCAACCTGTTGTATTAGCGATTTATAAAAATACGAGCAGCCTCCGGCACAGCCGACCCACTGTAGTAAAGTGTTATTAATGTTTTTATTATTGTATCATGATATATATAGTAAATGAGATAATAGAGTGTGTTTGATGTGAAGCTGAAGTGTAAACCAAACACCGCACTAAATATGAAGGAAATGGGGAAGTAACTTTTCAGGACCTATTTACAACAGCTTCTTTTGTTTTCCATCATTGGTAGGAGCAGGCAAAAATCATGTCAAACACAATATATATATAGACATGCTAAACACCATAATTTTTAAACCTTACTACACGTGATTTTGTTTCATCACTAAGGGTAGTCAAAAGGCGTTAGAGTAATGTCTATATGTATCCATGCTAGATACCAAAATTTTGAAATATCTATTCCCCGATAAATGTTACATAACCTTAAGGCTCCATGAACATTAGAAACCTCCATCACTTAATTTGCAACCCGTGGCTGCACACCTCACAATATATGTTACTTAGAGACAAAACCAACCTAAAAACGGGTAAAAAAAATCCAACTCATCAACTTCAATATTTTTGGCTAAATTGTAAAGAACTAAAATCAAAAGAGGTGGAACTTAACTCACAAAGAGGATCAAGAATGCGAATAGGATCGAGATTTCAACGATTATGATCTGGTTTAGTCGATTTTCAGCACATAATTGAATTGGAACTCACTGACACCGTCTCTGAAAATTCACAGAATGAGTGTTCAGAAAAGTATCAATTTACAATTACGAAAAAATATAATTGTTATTTAATATTTGATAGGCTCTATCCCTAAATAATAAAATATTCCTAGACATGACCAAATACGGTTCCTGGCCCCATTCCAAGTCGGAACCGCGGATTCCAGGCCAAGGGTTGGCCGGCCTGAACTGGCCGGAACATATGCATGGGTCGGTTCGGTTCTGGGCCGGTTCAGTGAATCGCCGGTTTCGGGCCAACCCAATTAATTAAAATAAAAAGAATCAAAAAACAAAAACAAAAAATATGATCGAACCATCGGTTCCCGTTTCGGTTAGGAACCGGCCTGACGGTCCAAAAACTGTATATACAAGGCCCGAAACCGACCAGATAAAAACTACGTGCCTTCTTCGGGCTGCTTCGTCCTATGGTCATGTCTATATTCACCTGACATGGACTAAAACTATTGTTGTTGAAAAGTAATTGCGAATTCTATTGGGGCCAAAGTGTATTAAGCTAAAACTTTCTTATTTTCTTATCAGGCCACCTCATTGCAAGTTTGCAACTGAAGATGTTTCATTGTTTTGGTTTTCCATTAACAGTGTCTTTGACAAGCACCATACCCTATTATTTGGTTTGCAATCGCGCTTCTTCAATAATTTTATCTTGGCTTGAGATTTCTGCATAACATGGGCGGCGGCAACCTTCCCAAACCCCCTCCATCCTCCTCCTCCGCCCACACCCACCATCGGAACTCCGGCTGGGGCTCCTCCTCCGCCTCCGCCGATAAACCCTCCGCCACCATCAAATCCAAACCTTCCCCTAGCTCCGCCACCGCGACTACCCCCAACAATAAAGATACCAAAAATAACCCCCCTCCCGCGAAACCCAGGCCCCGGCCGGAGAACCCATCCCCGAGGCCCGAAAATCCGAATGCCGTACACGGGCCGAGGCCCGTTTTCCCAATAAACGATCCGCTCCCGGCCCCATCCTACGGTGTCCACATGCTCGATCGTCGTAGCATACTCCTCGCAGATGGATCCGTGAGATCTTACTTTGCTTTGCCCCCAGATTATGAGAATCACGCGCTAGCACATATGCATCGACCTGGTTTAAGGCCCGAATTCATGGGCCGTCGTGAATTCGGGCTGGAAAGGCCTCCCTTACCAATGAGCCCTGGGTTTGTGGGTCCTGATGCCAGGGTCCGGAATCCAGAGTATTGGGCATCGGGCCATGATAATCCTTTAAAGCGGAAGCTTGGGGAGGATGAGAGGGGAGGGAGGGATGATGGTTATGAGAGGGTAAGGCAACAACTGTTGCAATATGGAAATGCAAATGGGGCTGGCCCGAGTACTGGGTATAATATAGGGGGAGGCGAGGAGATTAGGGTCTCTAAGAATATGCGGGTTCTAGATGGAAGTTCAAGTAAGCTTAAGCATGGTGAGGTGGATCAGAATGCGTTAAAGAAGGCGTTCTTACATTTTGTGAAATTGGTCTTTGAGAGTGGGAATCAGAGAAAGAATTATTTGGCGGACGGGAAACAAGGACCTGTGCCATGTCTAGCTTGTGGCAGGTCTGATAATGATCTATGGTTAATAAATTTTCGATTCCAACTTTGTTTCTTTTGATGTTTATGGTAAATTAATCTGTCTGTTTTTTCTGTGTGTGTTAGTGTGTCCATACATGTGTTCTTACATGCTATTTGATACCCAGCAAGCAATTAGATCTGGGCAATATGTGGAAATTGTTTGTGATGGTGGTTAAGTGCAAAAGCAGTTTATGTGCGTAATATGCATAGAAACTGTATCTTTCTGATTTATGTGCGTAATATGCATAGAAACTGTAGCATTGTATGATTTGAACACGTCAATTTTTCGTGTGTCACGTCTTGCTGTCTTATTACTCACTTTGGTTGATAGATGCCTTAATTCTTTTGCCATAGGGCATAGGCTTCAAAGTTATACTTTAGATTACTTTGTGTTGATGAGCATCAGTGGTAGAGTTGGATGGCCCTTGCACAACGGATTTGTGAAAAGTCGATTCGGTTATGCTGAAATATGGCAGATTCTGTTTTGTTTCCTGATCATTTATGTTCCAATGTTCCAGGGCGGGTACTGAAACGTCATATAAGAGTCCATAACTTAGAGGCTTTAGGTAATTCTTGAAACAAAGGGCTCACTAGTCACTACTGTACAAAAGTAGGCTCTGTATGTTGTTTTTGAAGTACAGAGTTCTCATCCTCCTATCCCGAGATAAATCGACCATTGCTTTTGCAATTAACCATTGGGTGTGATGCTCTTCCGGTGGCTGTAGATTCACTTTTTATTTTGATGTTTCTAATTTTATCCAGTAATTTAGGTACTTTAGTTAGTACTTTAGTTGTGGGCTTTAAATATTATTGTGACCTTGCGATAATTTGTGGTTAGTGTTTCAGTTCGGATGCTGTCTAGGCAGACTACAATCTGCTTTTAAGTCAAAAATCGATGATTTTTGGAATGAGTATGCGTAGGGTTTAGGAATGTCCCAATTTATTTTATTTATTAAAACCCTTCTCAGTCCAAAATGAGTATGTTTTACTCTTGTTATTCTCAGGTGCTCTCTAACATGGGGTTTCGATATCGGTTTTGTTTTGTGGTTGCTGGTACTTTATCCATTAGCTCTTACCTATTCATGGATGACTGTACTTTGAATTATTTGTTATGGATGGCTTATTCATCCGTGCGAACCTGCAAAGCCTTTTTCACTTTTTGTTCTGGAACATGTGAATCTCTCCAGATGATATTTGTTTCTATATATTCATCTCTTTATGTAAATTGGAGTTGATTGGTTTTCTAAGTATCCCACTTTTGACACTTAGTTCTTTGGATCTTGTTTACTTGCATCATGTGCAATCAAGTAGTGGCAATAATGCTGTTTTTGCAGCTGCCTGTAATTCTTGGATATGAATTGATTGTCCATGTAGTACTAATAGACAGCCTAGCATCTTGCGGGTGGGGGGTAATTCTGGAATATTTTTGTTGTTCTCGACCTCCGCAACTTTCAGAGGAGCCATAATGTTATTGAAGTTTGTTGAAAAGTTGGTTTTCAACATTATTGCCTTGTCTGATATTTATCTTCTTACTTTTGTTTCTCTATTAAAGCAGATGATTATTTATTATATTTTACAACTCTTGTTATGAAATCTTCTGAGGCACACAGGGTTCTGGTTTGGGAATGTAATAGTAGACTACCCCTCATATGCCTGAGCTTATAATTTTAGGATGTTGCTAATACAGAAGTTTGGGAAACTTGTTTGACTTATTTTGTTGACTGTAACTTTTGTCTTATAAGTTTCTTAGGAAAATCACGCTCTACGTGTGAAAGATAGTATATAACATATTAGTGGTAGGCCAAAAGAAATCAAACATTGGATTATAAAATAATTGGAATATGAAATAATACTGACAATGCGAAAGGTAAATACGGGAAGTTTTTCATCTGATGAACAGGAAGTCAAACAAGGCATTGTATTTATATGCCTAAAATGAACGATTGATGAGATCTTATGTTCTATTGAACTCTGTCCTATTAGTGCTTCAAAATAGTATGGTGGGTGCTTCTCTTATTTTTCTTTGCTAACTGATTTATATACAGCTTCTGTTTCACTTCCACTGGTGACTGCATATAATAAATGAATAATTTAATTTTGATTTTGAATTTTTGCTTTTCGTCTAAACGTACCTGTGGGGAGTTCTGGAGCTATTTGTGGTGTTACCTTATAGGTGTGTCTGGTGACCTCTGCATTCTAATTATCTTATATAAATCAATTTTTTCTGCAATGTTGACGCTACCATATAATACTTCTTCAATGTGTCTCTACTTTGACTTGTTTATCTTTTTCAAATTATGTGGCTAGATAGAAATTAAAGTTGAGTTATTACTTGATTACATCTTAGTATTTTTTTTCTACATTTTTTTCATACTGCACTCCTAAATATATGCTGTTGTTTGTGTGGTTGGGTTTTATATCATGAATCTTTACTCTTAAGTTGCAGCAGTTATATTCCCTGGTATTTGGACTGTTCCGTTTGAAAGTAAATAAATTTCTTCCTGGTAGTTCTCAGTACCATTTATCAAATTCCTATTCTGACTTCAGCTCATTTTTCCCTGGTTGAATATATGGATTTTCTGCAGAATTAATTAATATAATGGAAATTAGGCTTTCAGCTTGGTCTTTGCTATCTGAAAGTCAAATCTTTCTTGCATTTAACAAACACTTATTAAAATCTTTTGTTCAGAAAGGGAAAGTATAAATGTAATCCACCCAAATATATTAGGTCGTTCTAAATCAGACACCCTGACATCTATTTGTTGCATAAAAGACTTGTGTCTGAGACTCTGCTACACGGTTTTGGCATGCAAAATACAGGTCTTCAAAGGACTTTCCCCATACACACAGTCTTATCATGCATGCATACAGCTCGGAAAATGAGGCGACACTCGTGGATCACTCGGCCTTTCACAAGGCTTTATGCATTCTAATGGGCTGGAACTACACAATTCCTCCCGATAACTCGAGAGACTATCAGAAGCTCTCTCCCAACCAAGCAGAAGCTAATCGGGATGACCTGATTTTTTGGCCACCGACTGTTTTGATTCGCAATACTATTACGGGAAAAGGTAGAGACGGGCGTCTGGAAGGTATAGGGAACAAGGCTATGGATAGTATTCTTAGAGGTATTAAACACTCCTCAATTGTTTATCCTTCTTTTATGGTGGTTTGTGAGTGGCATTTTAGAGCTGGTGGTTGCTTATCTGTTTGTGGCTGCATTAGTGATGCAATTTTGTGTGCTTCTATAGCATTTTCTGATGCTATTGGTATCAGCATGACCTTACCGTATTAATATCTGAACTATAAATATAGTATTCACTGCTATTTACTGTTTGAAGTCTGGAAAGTCGAATTGATAGAGTCAAGTGCACACGAAAATGGTAAATTAAAAATGAAACTGAATTTTAGTAAATGATATGATAGTCTGAAATAGTGAACGTCACAAGACTTGGGGAAAAATTCCCATCAAACAAAGTCCGAAAGGCTGAATATGAGAAATATATCTTTTCTTGCCTTCTTAATGTTCACCCCAAACCCTTTATTTTTATTATAATATTCCCATTTCTGCGACCCTAAATTAGTCAGTGAAATGGTAACATGTATGCAGACAAATTTTCCCCAAGATGTCAATCAATTGTTCTCCATAGATCAGATCTCCCTATCTATTAGCTATATATTACTTGGCTACTAATTATGTTCCTTATTATCTCTATTCAGTTGAGGTAGGGGGGACTAATAGACCCCAGCCTAGCCTCGGATCCACAAAGTAATAAAAAAAATAAAAAAAATTATAAAGATTGGACTTTCATCGGTGGCCAAGGTATCATGTGGAGGGTTGCAGATTATATGGGAACTGCAATAACTACTGCAGTTGCATGGGTTTAAGTTTTCACCTCAATTTCACACGTGTGAGTGTATGATGAAAACACATGTAACTACACCGCAGTTAGATGTTGGATGAATTTGTTAGTATTAGTTTTCTTTGAACCTAGTTGTCAGGTAATTGAAGGGAAATATAGCACTGGTACAATCTGACCACCACTTTGTGTACCATTTTGTTGAGATTAATGATATATCGTCTCTATTTGACTGGAAGCACTAGCTTAAGTGTTTAACCTCATACAACACTTGTTTAGAATAACATTTTTGTATTCGGATTTTGTCCCTTTCTGATTATTGAGGTTCTCATCAGCTCCTGGAGACCATATTCTGGCATCAGATTTGTTGGATTGCAGATTTGTTTCTGCTTTTTTTTTTGCTCGAGTGTGAGTGCTTGAACCATAATATTATCATGGTACTGTGTTTTAACGTGTACAATTTTGTGGAGATTACTAATATTTTTGTCCGAATTCGGACCTTTGCCTCTATTCGACTGCAGTTCTAGCCGAAGTGTTTAATCTCTTTCAGCACGTGTATAGAATTAGATATTTGGATTAGGTTTTTTGTCCCTTTCTGATTGTTGAGGAGCTTATTAGCACCTGGAAACCATATTCGGCATCAGATATGTTGGCTTACAGATTATAATTGCTCGATTCTGAGTGCTTGGTCCGTAATATTATCATCTTTCCTACTCATTAGAATTATCATCTTTCGTACTCATTAGTGGTTATAGTCCGTTTCTTATTCGCATTACTCTCGCAGTTTGATAGCTGTAGCAGCTTAATTTGCCAGATTAGTGTCTTTGGTAAAGGGTAGTTTTCCCTATCTAATGGGCCGGCCTTATTTTGCAGCTGGGACTAAGTTGTAGGGCCTGTTCTGCTTTTCCTTCCCAAATATGCATTTTAACACTTTAGTAGCTTGAGCAGTAATGTTTCTTTTTCGAGTTTCCTTATAAGTGTCAGAAAGCCGCCTTCACAATTTATTGTGAATACGACGAAAGTAGTTTTATCGATTTCCTTTCCAAAAAATGAAAACAAAATTGTGGATTTTGTTTTTTTCTTTTTTCTTTTTTTGTTTTTTTTGCTGAATCTTGATGTGTGCAATATCTATGTTTAGATCTTGGATTCAGTAGTGGCAAGTCAATGTCCTTGTACTCGAGAGAAGGCCATATGGGGATGCACACTGTAAAGTTCTCGGCTGATGAGTCGGGCCTGAAAGAGGCCCTGAGGCTATCTGATTATTTCGAGAGAGAAAAGCGCGGGTTGAAGGAGTGGGCCCGTGCTCAGCCCTCAGGGCCCATTAATGCTAAGGATGATGAGAACAACCCGAACCTCGTAAAGTTGGACCCAAAGACGGGTGAGAAAAAGAGAGTATTTTACGGTCATCTGGCGACCGTTGCTGATCTGGACAAGGTTACGTACGAGATCAAGAAGAAGGTCTCGATCATGAGCTTATGCGAATTTCGAAAATCTAAATAATTATTTTTTACTTTCCTTTTCTTCAATACATTATGGTGTGTTTTTACTTGGATGTGTTGATGTGGAGCTAACAGAAAGCAATAGTTTGCTTCTGTAGTAGTAGTAATAGAGTAAAAGCAAAGACCCCCAACTTGAACACAATTTTTTTTCTTTCTTTTGTGGAGAATAACTGTATTTTCTTATAATGTTGATACTCAATCGGAAGTATATGACTAAAATATCTACTTGATTGTATGAGAAAAAATTGATAGATCATATGTAGACGAATCTCACACACAATGGTATAATATACGGGGAAGTGCTAAAGTTAACCTTATTCTGAATTGTTAAATAGATATTAATAAAATTATCTGTTCGCTTATGTTATGCCCATTTCGTTTCACACCATAAAACGCCACCAGGCCACTAATTTGAACAGTATTTGCATTTTGTAATTTGTTGGCACTAATTGAATATTTATAGTCAAGCTAAATTCTTATATTCTTCGTTACTCAAATATATATCTAAGTACGTGATATATAATTATATATCTAAAAAATAACTTACGTTAATAAATATATTAATAAAAGTGTAATATTTTAGTCAATAATTATGTACTTTCATTTTAAAAGTATAACATGTGGAGCAGTGTATAATGTATTCATTAGTTTCGTGACAATGGTTTTCCCAAAACTAATGGCGCACTGGAGACTGGAGTTCCTTTTCTAGGAGGGAAATTTGACTATTTGGGATTACGAAAGAACGTATATATATAATTTTTTTTTCCAGCTCTTAACTTTTTTGTTGGTTAGTGGTGGCTAATGGATATTTGTTATTAATTGTTCGTCAAATCATTTTCATTGCGTAAATAAAAACATAATAGAAGACACCTGATCTTGTAGGGCATTAATTCATAGATATTAGAATCATTTGCATGCACGATATCAATTATAGGCATTGACTTTCAAAAAAGAACAATGAGCATTAAACTTCACGCTTTGAAAATAAAATTAAGACGAGATAGCATGAAAAACAAAAGTAACAAAACAAATAGATGTAAAAATGAAATGAATTGACGAATAAATTAATATATATACACTGCACACCTTGATAAGGGCTTGATTTGTGTTTTCACCGATGTTGGCTCCACCAAAGTTTGAGATTGGCTCCTTTGTTTATTTAAACGAGTCGAGCCCGAAGTTAAATGAGCACATTTATCAAACGAGTCGATTCTTCGGCAAACATCTCATTTTAATGAATAAACAAATTGTGAATAGCTCGTTTATAATTTTTAATTTATTATATGACCCAAGCTGCCTCATTTATTAAATGAGACAGAATGAAATACGAAGTAGTGAGCTCAACTCAGTTCAACTCATATAACACATCTATTTGATACTTCACAATCCCCCTTATGTATTAATGCAAACTGTGTTGAGTTTAAGTAACAAACTCGCAAATTTTGGATGTTGACAAATACAAAAATATGTGCTTTCTAGTTTAGTTTGGATAAACATTTATATACTTATAAAAAAAATTAAATATTTAGGTTCGGAAATATCCTTGAATATTTAGATATATATGAGCAGTAATTACTATTTTAGACTATCTTTTGGAATACTCAATATAATACAATTTTCTTTTCAATCTTCGTCCAAAAAGCTATTTCTCTCTTTTCCAGTTTTTAAAACTTAGGGTGTTAGTGGATATAGATATATTGGTGTAAGAAAAGGAAGTAACGGGTGCGCTCCCACGCACGTGAAACGCACCATAACAGGGTGAGTCTTGGTGGGCCTTAGTGAGGTTCCATCCTAAAACCAATTGGTGGAAGGAGGAGTATTTCACTAGGCTTATAAGTTAGACCTATTTTCCATGTATAAATGATGTGTGACAACTCACAAGTGGTATTATATTCTAATACGCCCCCTCGCTTGTGAGTCCTTCATACGAAACCCAAGCCCATATACGGAGCCGGGAGCCCAAGCCCAACTGGGCTAGGTGACGTTTAGGTCATCGCACGGTCCCACATAGAACAGACTCTGATACCATGTAAGAAACGGGGGTGATGGGTGTGATCTCACGCATGTGAAGCGCACCATAACAGGGTGAGCCTTGATGGGTCTTAGTGAGGTTCCATCCTTAAACCAATTAGGGGAAGGAGGAATAGCCCACTAGACTTGTAAGTTAGGCTTATTTTCCCTGTACAAACGATGTGGGACAACTCACAAGTGGTATTATATTCTAATAATTGGTATTTGGTTGGTTTTAATTTTTAAAAGTTAGTTTAATTAGTTTTTAGTGAGATTTTAAGTTTGTATTAAAATAATATATAAAATAAAAAGTAAAAATTAATTTGATGTAAAAGTAGGAATATATGATTGAAAGTGATAGATAGTTAAAATTACGTGAGTGGATAAATAGTAAATTAAAGTTGATGTGATATATAAGAATGATTGATTATATTATTTAATTATTATTGATAATATTGATGATACTAAAGTTAAGTTAAAGTTGAGTTAGATTTTAAATTGAGATTGAATTTGAGTATTGATATATTATGTCCATGCACCCCCTTAGAAAGTGGTTGTTTATAAATTAATTCAATTCATATTCAAAATTTAACTTAACTTAACTCTATCTCACTATCCTCAATATTATCAATATTATTAAATAATATCAATCAATCATCCTTACACATCGCATCAATTTTAATTCATTTCATTCATTCACGTAATTTTAACTAATCATCACTTCACATCATCTCTCTTCTACTTCATCAAACCAACTTTATTATTTCATTTTAAATATTATTCAATATAAAATCAAAATTCTCTAACAACTAATCATACTACATTTTTTTCAAAATTAACCATGATTAACAAAAATACATTTATTTTGAATGAATATATTTGTATTCAAGCACGCGTCATAATTTAATGCTCACGTTTCATTGGGATTTTCAAAAGACACTTCTACATCTCTCTTTCTTTATCTTCCTTGTTTTCTCGTTGAAAAATTTAATTGGACTTGGTGATATTTTATGTTTTTCTATGCGAGTGTCTAATCGAGTAGACTTATCAAAACTAATATTCTAATTTTCTCATTGATGTTTTGACCAAGATGGAGCAGGGATCGACCGAGTTCCATGACTACATAACCTCACCCGCTTTCCTCGAGACTCACAGCCAAGATTGGACTCACATCACTTGCGTTGCTCGATACAATTTTTTTCATCTGCTTTTTCTCTTNACTTTCGAGTCTATTTAAACTCATCTACTTATTCAAACACCCATGTTGATGTGTCCAAAATATCGGTCCACCAAAATTTTTGGTTGAATCACCTCATTTTAAATCACTAACCAAAATCAACCTACAAAATAGTACACAGGGCATGCCTAGTCACTATGAAACTCAAGTTAGATATAGAATTAATGATATTTTCATAAGTCAGAGAGATCATCTAGAAATTGAATATGTATCTTATATATATAAAAAATTAGTGTATTGTTCCTAAGAAAGGGGGTTTCTTTATTCAAGATTCAAATTCCACCAGAATCTGGATATATATATATATATATACATATACAAAGTTGGATGTCGTTTATCTAGATAGCAATATTTTAGAAATCTTAGTCAATCTTCGGGCCAGGTTAATCGCATATTCGGGTCAAGTCATGGTCAAATGAATCAATTTTGCTACATTATCTAGTTCCCTTCAGTTTGATGTCGCAAGCGAAAGAGACCAAGAGTGAGACAAGTTCCATTTATTATCCCTAACAACCAAATACATTATTTAAATCAATTGAATATGTTGCAACCTATATACTCATACAATACCAACTGGCTCAGCTTCTCTAAAACACTTGTTTGACCCCACAAGCTACAAAATCGAATTTCAGGAAGAACGTTCAACTATCCCAACTAACAACAGTTTCAAGTCAGCAATCAACAAGTGGTCTAGCTCGAGCTGAACAAAACCATATTCAGACCTTAAAAAACAGTAGATTTCAATAATAAACCAAACACTCGTTCGACCCAACTTGCGTTGTTCAAGATCGATAATCAACGAGCGACTAGTCAACTCGAAAGCCTTAATCATGCCAAATTTTCACTCCATAAGGCTCCCAACAATCGTTTAACCCGACTCATGTTGTTTGAAATTGGTAATCAACAAGCAACTGGTGAGCTCAAAAGCTTTAATAATGCTATAATTTTACGCAAAAAAAAACTTCCAACACTCGCCCAACTTACTTCAAAGGTCGATATGTAATGAGCAACTAGTCAACTCGAAAGTGTTAATCATGTTAGGTTTATGCCACGAAGGTTGTGACACTTTCCTGACCTACTTCAGAGATCGTATGCAACGAGCAACTGACCAACTAAAAAGCCTTCATCGTGTAGGTTTATGCCACGAAGGCTCTCGCACTCGCCTGACATACTTTAATGGTTGGTATGAAACGAGCAACTGACCAACTCGAAAGCCTTAATCATGTCAGGTTTATGCCACGAAAGCTCCTGCAATCGCTTGACTATGTCAATGGTAATTATCCATCAAGTGACTGGCCAACTCAAAACATCAATGATGGTAGATTTTAATTTGTCCACATCAGTCGTTCGATAAGTAACACCACATTTTCTTCAATTTGTTATTTACTCAAATAATAATTCTAATATATCCATGTACACCACAATCTTAATAATATTTCACCAAGAATACACAAGTAATGAATATGTCTCAATGAAAAAAAATGCCACAAGAGACATCACCTCAGTGAATAATAACAATGGTACTTCATAACCAACAAGAGTAGGGTTTAGTTTATATACCAGGGGGTCAAAAATATCACTCTCAATCATCCTTTCTCTCTAAGTGATAATGATGTCTACCTCATTGAGGATTCGTCAAGACCTTCTAGCTTCAAGCTGTGTCACACAAGTGAACGACACCAGATGGTTGTCACCATCGTCACCACCATCCACGCCTTTGGAGGTTCATGCTCGCAAGTCGGCTCCTTAACCCAACAGCTCATTGGTGCTTGAATCTCTTTCCATCTTTTCTCGATCTATTCACCCAGGTCATTGAGTCTAAATTACCAGTCGCATCTTTTCAAGTTTTTTGCGCCAACCACTATGTACAGTATATAACACCAACAGGTTCTTCCCGAACTCTCCACGCAAGTCACCAGGACTCAAAGCACCTTGTCGATTACACTCGACCATGTCCCACCGAGTTGTTCATGCCAGCTATCAATGTAGCCGATCAGCATCGTTGTTCCTCATCATCATCCCGTAACTGTTGTTCATGTCCCAACTGCTGAAAGTCCCGAGAAATTCAACTGGCTTGACTTCAAGAGGTGGCAGCAGACGATGTACTTCTACCCAAACCACTTGGGTTTAATGAAGTACCTGAAGGATAACCCTCTGGTTGTGGCTGAAAGTGAGACCAATGCTGAACTATGCGTTGCGTACAATGTTTGGGGACAAGGGAATGATGTCCTGAACATACTTAGTAACAAGTTGTACAATATGTAAAGCTCAATTGGTTATGCCAAGGGGCTTTGGGCTGCCTTGGAGAAGAAGTACACGACTGAGGTGAAGGGACCGATAAAGACCGTCTTTAAGTGCAAGTCACAAATTAAACTCTACAATTTAAACATGTGCACCGCGGATCTAAGGTTTAACATAGAATACCTACGACTTAAAATTCACAGACTGAGGTGCTGTAGATTTTCGTTGAAGGAGATCGGTTGATTCCACTTTGCCCGAAAAATTGCCTCGTCGGATGTCTCAAAGTCACTGGGAGAATCGCGGGATCAAACGGGGCTAGCTCGATCATGCAGGTGAGGTCGTACGGCAGTCGCGGGGTGCAGCGCGTGTCTAGGCTCGACCGCGGACTGCGGGCGTTCGGTGGTCGTGGGCCTGCAGCGTACGAGCATCGCGGGGTGCGGCTATCTAGGACTGAGCAATCGCATCTCGGCTATGCGGGGATGTCTCCATTGTGGCGGTCATCGGGGCTAATGTGCGAGCGGGTTGTGCGTCTCGGCTGAGGGTGCGTGGGCGTGCAATAGTGCGCGGAAGTTTTTGGGGCCTCGTCAACTTCAGAGCCTTTTGTTGTATTACACAACACCTCTCCGGTTGTCTTCATGGGCAACAAGCTCGGAGTTCATCACCCTTTGGGATGGAAGATCTATAAATAGGACAGTGTAGAAGGTGCAGAGAAGACACAAGACCTACATCTGCATCTCACTATATACTGTATGCCGCACGCATCATATCATACACATTGTTTAGTTCTCGACTCTCATCGTGTTTGTCGGAACTCTGAAGTATCATGTGCTACAACTTCCGAGTCAATAGCCGTTGTAATTTTAGGGACAAGATGCACAAACTCATTAGCATTAAACAAGGTGTATTTGTCTTGCAGAAAGAGTTTACTTGCTTCGATATTAATCTTTCCGCTGTTAAGTTGTAATTTGTTTTCTGTTTTAGTTCATATTGTAAGAACTGAACACTTCACTTCATAAGTTCCGGTGTATTAAACAATAAATTTGTAACAAAATGATACTACCTATAAGTATTGGTAAATTAAAGAAAAAAAATTACGGGAATATAGAATTTGTATTCAACATATAGTATCCTTCTACATTTCAATTTAATTATGGTTCATAATTACATTCTACTTTCTATTCATCCAAGATAAAGAAATTCTATTGAAATATAGAATAAATTATAAAACATGATTATAAAATATAAGACTAAAATTAACTTTTGTTTTTGTTTTGAGATACGCATAATTCAGAACACCCTACTTAGACAAACCGAACACGTGCTTTTTTCAAAATTCTAGAAGTCATAGGAAGGGTTTTGCCTATGACTCGTACATCGTCTTTCGACTTTGGTTAGAACTTTTTGAACTCCATGAGTAGTTAATTGTTGAAACTTTTGCACCAAATATGTCAAGAAAGTTGAGTGCAACACAATTATTGTTAGCAAAGCAACGTGTTTGAATAAATGAGTACTTATTTTAGACCATATTGTTGATACCCAATTTGGCTTCGATTAAATAAATGATAAATAAAATAATAAAATACAACCCGACAACCAATGAGCCAAAAATACATGATAAATAAATATATAAACAGGTACCCAAGACCGATCATCTAAAAGTCGACCGAGTCCCCATATGGCGAGTCCGCCCGTTGTTGAGTCGAACAGAAGCTGAATAAATCGAATGACGCAGATATTACAAAAAGCCGCCTCCAGTAAACGTCGCAATTGTCGGGAGGACAGACGTCAGTCGAAATCGACAATGGTTATAAGTGGGCCCTGCGATGGTTATCTCACATAAAATAATAGTGTGCTATTATTTGTTTATTTAATTTTCCACTTGCAAGATAGTGGAGGAGGTATATATATGTAAAGAGATGAGAGAGAAGGGGATCTCTCCTCATTTTTTCATCTTCCCCAACAACTAAGAAAGGGAAAATACTCTCTCTAAAATAAAAAGGAAACACCCATTTTCATTATCTAGTTCTTCATTTTTACACAAGAAATTCGATTCATCTTTGACGGTTGATCGTCCGATTTTCGACATCAACGCATATCACTAGTAATAGAACCCGTGGAGATTGTAATTTTGTTCTTATACTTTGTGGAAGAGTAATGCAATTTCAAATCAAATCCAATTTCATTGTACAATTAGTAGAAAAATGAGCCAATTAAATTGAGTTTAAAACAATTTTATCCAAGTTTAGAATTTCACATGAACAAATTAAAATTTAAAGACAATGAATTATGTGGGAGAATTCCATACCCTATAGTTATACTCTTCACACACTCATCTATAATTTATGCATAGCACTTTATATGGATAATACTTAATTATTCATAGTTTGTAATATTTGTAAAGATATAAATATATAGAATACTCTATAATTTATGCATAGCACTTTATATGGATAATACTTAATTATTCATAGTTTGTAATATTTGTAAAGATATAAATATATAGAATACACTAGGCACATATAAACTTATTTACCTCATTTATTATTATTTATTATATATATGCTTATTCTAGTAATTAGAGCTATTCTTTTTATATAAAAACTATAAATTGATAATATTTATATATGTGATGCTTATACTTATAAAGATGTAACATGTATACATTGTATAAACTAGATAAAATAGAAGAAGTAACAAAAAGTTAGATCCTAACTTATAGGAATCTACTCAATCTTTAATATCTATGAAAATATAAAAATATATTATTTACTAAATTATTATTTTTTGGAACATGTATTTTTTGTATATCTAGTTATTAGGTGTGTGGGTAATCAGACTGGATACAAGGACATGTCGGATGAAAAAAAAAAATTACCTTTACCCGACCCGACCCTACACGCGGGTGTGGAAAAAAACCGGTGTCTAACATTTGTTAATACATACCAATTTAAATTTTTTTTTATTTTTATTTTTTATTTTTTATTTTTTGTTTTTGGTACACAAAAGGAGGCTAAAGCCTAAAAACTATCAAATAGGTATGTTCCGTGGGTAAGCCACGCTAACAAGATCGTGCTGTAACCACGGTTGAACTACTGAAGGTGGGTCAAATAACCGTTGATATCCACCAAGACAATGATGAGCCAAAGTCGCCAAGCAGTCAACCGCAAAGTTAGCTTCTCTATAACAATGAATCACCTTCACATCCCAATCTCGGTAGAGCAAGTCTCGTATGGCACGAACCAAACTATCATGCACTCCAAGATTTTGTCACGCTAGGAATTAAGTTAGTACATATAATTTCCTTACATATTCTTCTTGTCCTTTTGTTTTCATGTCCCTTCCTCAAACTCCTAATGACAATAATGTTTTTCCGCTATTAACAAGGCCTCTCAATCAAATATAAAAACCTTTATGTATGTAGTATATGCTTTCGCATATGGCTGCTCTAATAAAATAATATATTGACCTGGGTTAATTTTTCAATTAATGTAATGATATACGTCTTGGATCAACTTTATCTTGAATATAAAATAATTTGATGTGTTCAAAATATCGACCATCGAAATCTCGATCGACCACTTTATCTCGAATTACAAATTGGATCAACCACGCTAGTTTAATTTATCCAGAATATTGGTCATCTATCTCGAATTACAAATTGGATCAACCACGCTAATTTGGGCCATCAAGTCTGTATTTGCGGTCCAACCATTTGTCTCGAATAACAAATTGGAGCACCCAACAAAACAATACGAGTTATCTCGGGATATCTCGAATTACAAATTGGTTCAACCAACAATCTACCAACAAAAGAACACGGGGCGAATTCCAATGCAAATACTCCGATGCTAAATTCAAATTTAAAATCAATGATATTTTGGTCTGATAAAAATTATGAATCTCATACTCCCTCCTTTTTTTAATAAGTGTCATTTTGAGAGGTTGCACAGTGAATATTTCTTTTGCCAATAATAACTCTCATTAATTGAGGATAGAGATAGATATTTTGAAAAAGATGAAAAGTGAATATGAAAAGACGTAGTGTATTTATTAGCTAGATAAGGGTAATAATGGAAAAATATGTAAAAAAATCCAAAACGTCATTTATTTGGTTAATTGATGATAAAGCCAAAATGATATTTATAAAAAAAAA